ATACCCAACCCACGAATTAAAAAGTCAACCTTTGACATCTCACATGCAACATATAAGACAGGACACAGGATATTTAGCTAAGTAACGAGATTATTATTAACGAATATATAATAATAAAAAAAAAATCATTAGTTAATACGATTGGACTGCCTAGTTAGCATCAGAATATCCGATAACAGTTATAGATAATGATGACCCATAAAACAATCCTTATACCTAGCTATTTAATTTTTTTATTTTTTTTTGGTATTTTCAGATATTGAAAAATATGACGAACAGCTCCCCCATGAGGTGGCCAAAACATATGCATAAGCTAAATAAGTTTTCACACATGAAAATCACGAATTAAGATTTTTAGATACTTTTTGTTCAAATGGTAGTGATTATATAAATTTATTATGGGTAACCCGTGTCTGAAAATACGATGTAATTTAAGTTAATGTGAATAATTTTGAGAGAGATATTAGTGACCGTTGAATAAATTTATTTGAAACCGTCAGTTAAATTTATTAAAACCTGTCATGTTTTATATAGACTTAGCATTCATGATTCTTAAGTTAATTGTAATTAGTGATTTACCCCCTTTGATAAATTAATAATATTTATATTGCAAGGAATTAAAAATGACATTTTATTTTTACCATAGGAGGGCAGTTATGTCATTTCAGGCTAGACATACAGACATGAAGACACGTGGCGGGGCCCTCGTAAAAAATCTAGGACAGGAACGGTCCAAATTGAATCATGTTTGGTGTCCCATGTGAATCTAATTTTCCTATTTCAGGAATGTTAGATTGATCAAATTTTGAGATCAAATTTAGAGCCTAAATAACATGGCAGTTGACTTGGACTTTTTTGATTGATGTCATGTCATTTGGGTACTAATAAAAACTTCAAATAATCAACTGTCATATCATTTGATCTCTAAATTTAGTCTCAAAACTTGATCAGTTTAGTTTTACTCTTCCTATTGTTATTAGGAAAAAACGTTATTTGGATTTCAAAAGTTGACAATATTTGCTAACTTCATCGATCACATTCATTGAATAGATAGAGGATTCCAATAAATATGAAGACAATTAAATCAATGACAATAATTAATGAAGTCAACAAATGGTGTTACTCTATTCGTTCTTAAATATCTGTCGTTTAAGATTTTTGTACAAGGATTAAAGAAGTTATTAAATAACTCTAATATGAGTAAAAAATAATTACACAGGACTAAAATACTCTTATTCAATACGTATTGGAAATGAAAAAAATATGAAAGACACTTAACCTCCACCTAATCTAATGCATTGAAAAGTTAAGGATAAATTTGGAAGAAAAAATATTAATTATGTTTTGATTTTATAAAATGACAGATATTATAAAAAAAAAAATTGTGTAAAACGACATATATTTAAAAGCGAATGGTGTAATTTTTAAAATCCAAACAACATTGCTTACTCTATTTCATTTCATTTCGCCTTCGACCAATGGCCCAATACTTAAGATACCATTCTCAGAGACTAAAACTGGCCCAACACAATTGGCCACATCCAATCCATCTTTTTTGGGGAAATTGGAAGGGATATACCAAATTAGATTTAATTGTATAAAAATACATAAAAAAAAATATTAGATAATTAAATCCTTAATTTTGATACTTATTTGTATTTAAGTACATTATTTGAATTTTACTGATTTTTTTGTGACATTTTGTCCTCTATTGATTCATGTTAATTTTCTTTGAAAAGTGGTGTATTAAACATCTCTTACTTTTATGAGAGAACTTTAACATTCCATATTTGTATGTCCTCCCTTGATTAATGCTTATTTTTTTGAAAAGTGGTTTTGTTTTCAAATTATATTTAATGAACCTTGATTTATGTGTATTTTTTTTTTGGAAAACGGTTTTGTTTTCAAATTATAATAATATCCGAACAGTGTAACAGTGTAAAAAGTCATTTACACAAAATATTGTATTATTACATTTTGTTAAACATATATTTTCATATAATTTTTTTCAAAACAATTCATCCTCGTTTTGAATTTGTTACCACATGCACAAAACTATTGAACACCGTTTTTGTTACAGTGTATTTTTACACTGTCTTTGTTACATTATATTTGTTACACTATTTTTGTCCATTACACTATTATGAGGTTCGGATATTAACAAATTTTAAAATTCAAACAAGTGATATATTCTAAAATAAATAAAATTTTAAAATTTTTCTATAAAAGTAGTAGTAGTAAATATTTAATGCATAAATATAATTTAAAAAATAAAATTATTTTCTAAAAAAAATACACATGATTCAAAGTGCATTAAAGATAAGAGATTTTGAATGAAATGACCATAAATTTCAGAGTTTAATAAATGTCTTGTTAAAATTTTTGGGAAAGAAAATTTTACAAAATGAGCATTTATGTCTTTGTATTTTAGCTATGTACTTTTTTTCAAAATATTTTGTTCTATGTAATTTTTTACAATTATGTCTAATTTGATATACCGGCTTCCAAATGACCTTTTAAAAATGTTTTAAAAAAAATATTTTATATCCTTAAAAATTAAAAATTTTAAATTAAACCCCCAATATATAAAAAATATTGCAATGTAACCCAATCTTTGGTTTGCGTCTCGCATTTCCTTGATGTCAATGAAATAAATTTTGAAGGAATGAAAAACATAAATTACAACAGAAATTAACGATAGGGTCACATTACAACATAAATTAACGACATAGTCATATTACAACAAAAATTAACGATAAGGTCACATTACAATAATTTTAATACGTTGAAAGTAGAATATAAAAAAATCTAATATTGAGAGTACGAATATTTAAACCTTCCAAGGTATAAAGTGTGATTCCGCCTAACTAAAATTAGTAATGGAGGCAGTTGGTGAATAGTCATTGACTTGTAATGCGAAGAGAAGGGCTGGCAAACACATTAAAATTTGAGAGGTGCTTATGAAGTTCAATCCCGTACCTTCCTATGTAGATTTAACTTTGAGCAATTATATTGGGATCTAATTTATTGATATAATTCATGACCTTTAGATTAATTGTGAACTCCATCAAATATTGGAATTTAGTATTTATCCAATGGTTTCAATAAAGTCACGTCATTAGGTCAGCAAATTATGTTAGATTTTTAGATCCAAATAGTATTTTCCTTTTTAACTTTTGTTTTGGAATCTTAAATTTGAAGAGAGAGAGAGAGAGAGAGAGAGAGAGAGAGAGATAAGGTTTTCTAATTCCAACTTGACTTTCAATCATTGATCAAAATTTGTAAGATGAATGGGTACTTCCAGGAAGCATTATAGCACCATATGCTTAATGGCATTACCAAAAGTTTGTATTTGTGCAAAATGGTCGGGATCACTAATTATGCCTGGGGTTGGGGTACCTATTATTTATTGACGATATGGTGTACCTTTATTATACAAAGTCGTCCCTCAACTTAGTTAAATGACGTTGCTTAATTACGAAGAAAATTCTTTCTTACTCTAAATTCATACATTGTATTTTGTTGTTGGCAATGGAGAATGAGAATAAAATGACCAAGAAATACTCATTCTCCCATGCTAATGATTAGTTGTTTTACAACATGAGGTGGTATTACGCATTGCTAATCACCCCACTACTATCGCCACCATTACTCCAAACAACCACCTCCACCTCCACCTCGAGTATTGGGTCTGGATTTGAGGTTGGGTCTTGCGTCCCAAGTCTGGAGTCCCGAGTCTTGTGTTAGGGATCCTCAGTCCTTGGCCTGAGTTTTCAATGTTTGGGTATAAAGCATAATATCTGAAAGACAATGTACATCTCAAGCTAGTTCGATTCCACATTTATTTCATTGTCACTTACAAATTTTACTGCGAACTAAACGCCACATTTGATTCCAACCCATGACCTTGTAGCTGTTAGCATTGTTCTTTTATTTTTGTACTAGATAATGACTCCTCAATAGACATTAATATTTAAGGAACTCTTCAATCTTTCACGGGAGTTCACAATATTATTCAACATATTATATATAAGTAATGTTATATTGATCAAATTTTGAAACCAAATGACATGATAGTTGATTATTTGAAGTTTTTATTGGTATCCAAATGATATCACACCAATCAAAGAAGCTCAAGTCCACTATCATGTCATTTGAGCTCCAAATTTGAGTAATCTAGCATTACTGATTATATATAACAATGCACAAATATCCAAGAAATTAAAGGATGATTAACTTGCGACTGAAATTGCAGACAGATTTGTGTGTTTGACCAAGTGTTTGCCCTTCATCATACTATGGTCAGTTTCTTTTATTTGCATTTATGCCTCTTGTAATGTTTAACTACAACATTGCAAATGTAATTACTTCTATTTGTCTGATTCATATATATGGATCTCATGTCATTAATGTAGTTTATCATTTTTTTTGTTGTTTGATTTAACAGGTAGAAGTGTTCAAGTCACCTCATGCACAGTTCAATTAATCCTCTCTCTTATCTAGTCAAAAACAGACTATTCACGTTGAAATTAGGATATTCATGAAAGTTAAATTTCTCGTGATCTGTCCCCAAAGATTGATACACGACATTCTTGACTTGAAAAAATTGAGCATGTTATGACGATTTAAAAAATTGACTTAATTTACTAATGACAAATTGTTGAATCCTAATGGAAAAGTCCAACACTTACCATCACCACAATACTTTTAGATCACGGTATTGTCACATCATTAAGTCAACAAATTAATTTGATCAATTTTTAGGTCTTAATAACAATTACTCCAAAAATAATTAAATATTACAAACATGCATGGCTGGCATATATTGTATTTCTCACCGGCAGCTCACTCTCTCTCTAAAGAAAATGTATTTTTCTATTGCACAACGGACTGGGAAGGTGCCATTGGAAGAGTATAAAAGGAAGAACAAGTTAGTCGAAGGCTTTGCGGCTTAAAACACTTCTGATAATAGTTCCTTAACAGTGTTTGTTCCTAAGAAAATGAAGGCTGTTTTTCTCTTGCTGGTCTGTGTAACAGTTTGTGCTGTTCTTGGTGTTTGTGAAGGAGGAAATTTAAGGAGGAATTTCTACGAAAAATCATGTCCTCTTGCAGAAGAAATCGTCCAGAACGTCACATGGAAGCATACCTCCACCAATCCAATCTTGCCGGCGAAGTTCCTCAGAATGCATTTCCATGACTGTTTTGTTAGGGTAAGACAACATTTTCATACCTATTATCCTGTTTAGCAATAGCACTCCATGCATTATTGCATACGGGAAAGATAGTTCAATTCACGAAACACCTATTATTATAGAGTTTGGAAAAAGTTAGATTTATACACATTAACACGGCAAAAAGAAAGGTTGTACATTTTTGTACTCAACTTTCTAAAAAAAATTGAGTAGATATCACTATGTTTTAAATGAAACATGACTAGGAAATCCCGGGACTTATCTTGGAACAATCACTTCACATCAAGATTGAGTTGTAAAGACATACAATTAGGTTGGAACAATCATTTCACATCAAGATTGAGCCGTAAAGACATACAATTAGGCGTGTCAACAGATCGGATATGAATTGAATTGACCTATATTCAAATTTGAATTCGATTAAGTTTTTGTAAATCCGATCCGATGTGATCCAATTATCTGATGGATTTGAGAAATTAAATCCATGTCCGAATTCGTTAATTTTTAGATGCCCGATTCGATTTGATTATCACAAAAACCACATGTAGACGAAAAAATTTACAATAAGAATTTAGGTAATGAACTAAAAAATGAGAAAATTGAAAAATTGAAGTAAAAGTAAGGAAAAATTAAACAAGGGAGGCAAATAAAATAAAAATGAAAAAAAATGGGTCATACATTTTGATATTCACTCTATTTTTACTTATTTTCAAGTGTAAGTATATTTTTATTTACATAATATATTTTTGTATTCATATCATTAATAAAGGATCGAATTATTATAAATTCATATCCGAATCCGTTTAAACAACTCTAATTGGATTCATATCAAATTAATGGATTAAAAATTTGATCCACATCTACTTAAACGAATTCAGGTTCAGATCAATTTCGGAATAAAATCCGGTCTATTGAGAGGCCTACCTACAATTAGAGTTCTATTAACTGTAAAATCATTTTGTACAAATGAATATATAATTGCATATTGGAACTTTTCCTCAGGGTTGTGAGGGCTCAATTTTATTGAACTCGATTGCAAATAGCAAGGCAGAAAAAGATGCAATTCCAAATCTTTCCCTGACGGGTTTTGATGTTATCAACGACATTAAAGCTCAGCTCGAGACAAAATGTCCAGGAGTTGTATCTTGTGCAGATATTCTTGCTTTGGCAACCAGAGACTCGGTTTCTTTTCAGGTAATATTTGTAAATTCCCTTCGTACTGCAACATAAAATTGTTCGTCAATTGATTAATTAACATCAGTATAAAATATTTGCAGTTTCAAAATAAAAAGCCAATTTGGGAAGTGCTCACTGGTAGAAGAGATGGCAGAGTGTCCCTTGAAACAGAAGCCTTGGCCAACCTGCCCTCCCCTTTCTCTAACTTCACCACCCTCCAGAGGATTTTGTCAGTCAAGGACTCAATATCCATGACCTTGTGGTATTATCAGGTAGAGGTTCAAAAAAATTACAGGTTCTTGATAGTGTCTTTTAACGAAGAACAAAAGAAATATATATAATTTTTTTTACCACCAAATAAAAGCACAAAAATGCACACGCATACACTAATGGTATATATACTATATTCCATATATGATTGATGATTGATTTACATCCCATAACAAGAAAAAATATTGCTACATCATGATTACTTCAAAGAACCTAAGTGGGGGAGTGCTGCAAGAAAGCGAGTAAAAACAATAGTATAAGAAATGAGAATGGATAATGAAAATAAATTGTTGATTTGTGCACAAATACCGATTTAGATTCTTATTCTAGGTGTAAAAATTGTCTAGAATTCCATAATAGAACGACATTGACTATGTTCAATAAAATACCAAAAATCTCACCACCAGTACTGCATCAACAAATCTTATGTGTGTTTCTCCTTATTCTATTGTTGTGGACCAGAATTTGAGTAAATATTGAGTGTAACAGTGATATCACGCTATCAATGTTACATGGTGTCATCAAC